TGCAATTCGATATTCAAAGCAGAAATTAGCTAGGCTTCATTGGTTTGAATTTATGAATTTTAGTGCCGAGACAAGAGAATTCTTCCTGTGGTATGTTCCTTCACAATTAGCTATTTTCCACAGAGGAAAATGCACATTTGCTCTACAATACTGTCAGAAATGATGAAGTCAACTAATTAATAAATAACAGACAATGGGCAGCAATCTTGCTAACATTTGGATAATGGGCAAAAATCCCACACTTCCAGTTTTTTTAAAATAAAGGTTGTTAGGCTTAGAACTCAGTTGGGGAATTGAGGGTTACAGAGAGAGGGCAGGAAATTGGATGTGAGGAATGTCGGATCAGCCATGAAGAGTATGTCCTGGAAGAACCAGCAAAGGTGGAGGCTGCACAATCATTATCATTATAAATATATTAAATACATGTTGAATTCAACATGTTTAAGTTGAAGAACCGTGTTAACATTTTGGTATTTCTCTGTCAAATGGAAAGAAGTAATTTCCATTTATGTGTGCCTTTCACAACCTCACGGTATCCCGAACCATTTTCCAGACAATGAAAAACATTTGAAGAGTAGTCACTGTTGCAATTTATGACCGATAGCAGCCAATTTTGAGCATAGCTAGGCCCCACACATAACACTAACCAACAGTAATGTTGAATGAGATGTAAATGTTGGCAAAGGCAGTTCGAAGAACTCTTCTGCTATTCTTTGAGATTGTGTTTTCAGTTCCTTTAAATTCCTGAGAAGGCAAAAGAACCTTGATTTAAGGCCTCATCTGGAAGATCGATAAGAGCATTATAAGTTGCAACCGGCAGAAACAGGGTTAAGATCTCCCTGATTTATTATACCATAAGCTCTGCCACTGGGACCAAATGTGGGATCAGAGACCAAGAAAGAAAATGATGGGACAGCGGAGTATAAGTATTTTACTGGTGATGGCTCATTAAGATACCTGTGCTAGGACTGCCAACTCAACGTTTGGCAGAGCAGCAGCACCATTAATGTCGGTGGCCGCTCCTGAGACTGCAAGGGACAGGAAAGGGCAGGTATCCCTGAAAGGCCACTCCGGAGCCAGACAGACTGTCCCTGGCACATTGAGGGGTGAGTCCCACTGTCGGAGCCACAGGGTAACCCCTTCTGTTGATATCCCCTCTGTAGACCACTACACAGCATTAAAGGGAGGCTTGTCCCCAGCAACCTGCTAGGAGACCACCACAGTGTACCTGGTGGTCTCCCTCGGCAGGAGGCCATGCCAGCAGCTGTATGAAATGACCATTAAGAGGCCAGTTCATCTGATTATTTGACCATACACTTCTGGTTAATGGGCAGCTGCCATTCACACCTTTTGTAATCTGCCACAGTACACAAACGTCTCAGACTTACCATCCGGCACATTTTGTTGTGATTTTTCCAGCTCTCATGTATCCTATCCCATCTCCAAGGGGCCAGTGAATTTCCAAAGGGCCTAGAACGGACAGATCAAAACCTCATTTGCACAGTTCAGAAATGAAGACATGTACTTTAAATTTGTTCATCAAACCATGAAATTGAAGGGGGAAAGGGTAACTTCAGTTTCGTTTTGAGCAAAGGGAAACATTGTTTAGGGGCACTTGAAAAGTTGTCTTTTAAATGTTTTGAAAATCTTACCACAAAATTGGTTTAAAAAATCCAGAAAAAAATTACCACTCGCATGCTAACGATTTACAATTAAATGTTTTAATGGTTGCAGAGAAATGCGGATCGTTTAAAATATCCCATTTCAAACATGTAACCATTTATATATGGTCTCATATGCACATGTTAGACAGCTATAGTCTCAGATCAAGACTCCATCAAAGGAGATGAGTTAAATTAAGCAATAGTGGTTAGACAAGCCAAGCTGGAGTTTTAAAAGGCTGCAGATTGTGGGAGGAAAGGCAGTCTGACCACAGTAATGTTAGAAGGATGCTAAAATGCCGGCTTGACACTTAGTATTTTTTTTCCCTGGTAAATGTTGCCACGTGTTTAATTCCAATTCTTTTTTGTAGTTGCACACTTCTAGATGTAGATAAGTTTATTTCAGTGCAGGCATCTTTGTGGTACACTGGGGTCCTGAGAGAAAAGGGAGGGGGGTATCAGCTTCTTTGTTCACTCTTTCCTAGGCAATGAATGGAGCAGTGAGTAATGTGCTGAGAGATAGACAGCGCTTAGTCGTAATGCTTGTGGAAACTGCAAACTCGAATCTCTCACAGCACAGTTACAGCCAGCTTTCGTCTTGTACCTGGTCCAGTGGCCCTGGTTTTAAATTTTTAACCCTTTGAGGACAACAGCAGCATTTTCTGCTCCCAGGATCTCACCAGGCTGCAACGTTGGCTGCTCACTTCAAGGATTGTCGATGGTTTCTATGCAGTTTTCTACTTATTCTTCACGATGTCTGTCATTCAGAATTTACAGAAAGTAATTTCTGCAGATGCTATACGAAAGAAAAAAGGTGCGTGACTGTATTTTAAAGCTCTCAAAGGGTTAAAGTCTGAAGAGAATCTATGGACTTTATTGTGCTATCTTTTACTCAGTGGGCACTGATTTATGGTGCCCGGATAAGTTAAATTCCTTTATTATATGGGGTCTTGGGACTCCTTACTATGGATATGGGAGTGACTTTTCACCCTTTTATTGTTACACTCATCAGTTTCTAATGATGAATGAGCAGAATCCTTTCCTTTAACTAATGTAGGACTACCCAAAAGTGGGTGGGGGGTGCTTGTGAATGTTCATGACAGGGAGTGTATCGCATTCTTCTGTGAAAATCTAAGATCAGCAGCTTTGTTCCTAGTAAAGTACAGTATCGTATGTTATCCTGGGTAAGTGCCTCTCCTGACTGCCCAGCCAACCTGGATACAATCTGATGTTGGGTCCACAGTTCCTTCTGAACACTGGCTTGCAGCGCAGGCTGAACTTACTGTAGTTGTGGCCGCCTCTCTCTAGGGTTTTCAGTGGCTTTATTTCTCACTTTCTGACAAACTCATGCAAGCACCGCACGTCCAAAACAGGAAAACGTGTCATTGCCAAAGCCGCTTCCGACGTCGGCAGCGTGTTGTCCCCGAGATCTTCAATCTTTGGAATGCTTTAACAGCATTCTCTGCTGTTCTGAGCTTCGGATCTACACCCAACTTCCTGCTAAATACTACAGCCATGGCTTAAGTGACAGTGTCTTAATTAGAAAGGTGCATGTCAAAACCTTTTTGGTAGAGAGGGAGAACAGCAATGACTCACTTTCACTGAAATGATATTAATACACAAGCGATGAAATGATTTGTAGTCACTTCATTTTCATTGTGAGTTTTGTCATGTTGCTGCATTATGCTTCTATATGAGACCAGTCATCGTCGGATTGTCACTGTGCTCATAGATTCCCTCAACTTGACGCTGCTGTGGATTTTTATCGGGGTCTTCTAAGCTGAGCTTTCATAAAATTGAGAGGCACTGCATAGCTTGGAGAACTCTGTGGGAGTGGAGTACAGTCAGGGGAATTCAGGACATTACTCCCGTTTTATGGTATTAGCAGCTTTGTATTGAGTATGGCAACTCACCAATATCTTCTCAAGGGCAATTAGGGATGGGAAATAAATGCTGGCCTAGCCCACATCCCACAGTGAATTAAAAAGAAACTAAAACTTTAGAAGCCCTGTCTGAACATCAGTGAATAGATCAGAGTGAATGTATACATGTGTAAGTGGAAGCGGAGGGATGAGGTGGGTAGGGCAGAAGGTGGGCAGGGAGGAAGGTGATTGGCTGAAGTGCGTGTGCTCCTGAGGTGGGGAGGAGGATGGAGTGCACCAACGAATGAGGTATGTTAGTAAATTGATGGGTGAGGTGAGTAAGTGACTGATGTTATAACAATGATGAGAAGGTCATTGCTGTCATCTTGTTACAATATAATGTCACTGGCTTGTGGTTAGGGTTGTGTACTGACACCAATCCTCTTTCCTGTGCTAATCTAAGGGGCAATTCAGCAATCTGTGGTAGAGAATAGACAACAAATAAATCTTAGCAGAAGAGACTTCTGTTTTTGAGAACAAAATGTTGTTCCAACTCAGTAACTGTACACAAGTTACATTAACTCTTGGGCATATTAACTATTACCAACCAGAGATAGTAAAGACCCATATGTCACTATCAGAAGATCGTGCAAGAGTGTAGAAGACCACTTCTGTAGATACAGTTTCCAGATGGTGTCATTATGACTGGTTATCTCTTCACGGTGAATGTTGAGAGAGTGTATACAAAGGATTCATGGGGCATGACCATCATGAAAGGAGGATAAGAGATATGAGGTGCATGATGAATTTCTGAGGGAGCATGGAGTGAACATTTGAGATATGGGGGCACGGGAGAGTAACGTGAGGCCTGACAAACATGGTTACAACTGAGTTGGTACCCCAATGATTGAAGGCAGTCCTTCTAGCCTTCTTGCCTTGCTCCCCAGTCTGTCTTCATTGTTGCTTGGGCTACCTCTATAGGCAATAGGCTGACCTCCATCCCACCACCTCTCTGCAGTGAAAATATGTCAGCCAAAGGCCTCCATTAATGGAAAGGAGTTCGTAGGGTCAGGAACGTTTGCAACTCTCCAAATCTCTTTCACAACCACCTGGCCTATACCTATTTTACTTTGAGCCAATAAAATTAACAAAAAGACTGCTCTGCAAGAGCCCACTCCTTCAGAGAGGCAGTACTTATAAATATTTGAACATATGTACAATGTGAATGGATGAAGTGTAATTCTAAATAAAACATTGTTATTCCTGCTAGATCAACTGCATTATGCTGTATGTTGTCCGTCAGTTTGGAAAGCCTCCTTGTCTATGTGACTTCATACCATATCATTGATACAGATTTCCATTAAACATGAAAGAAGCATACAAAATAATGTATGTACAATGTAAAACAATGCCTATTGGAACATTTGAAGAGAACAAGTACAGAGTTAATGTTGCGTGTTCTGTTTTGTTTTTGCAGGTCCAAAGCAATAAAGAAAAGAAACCTGGAACTCCACCCCCTGCTGTGACAAATATTGCTCCCAGTCCTCCCCCTTCAAACAAAGTTGTTGTCAGCACTCCTGTATCCATAAACATTCCACGCTTCTACTTCCCTAAGGGACTTCCAAGTGCTACCAACAACCACGACGAGACCATTGCCAAGGTTCAAACAGCCTTTGCTGAACTTGAGGATGAGAAAGCTGATATTTATGAAATGGGCAAAATCACAAAGGTGTGTGTGTGTGTGTGTTTTAATCAAAAATAATTCATTACAAGGAAAGCTTTTTTTTTCTGTTTAATTTAAATGTAGATTTTCCCTTGTATCCACTCCACTTAGAATTCTAAGAGTGATGTTATTGTTGTGGTTGTTTAGTTATTGGTCATGAATATCGTAAGAAATCTGACTCTACACACTGTCACTGGCCTCCACAGCAAAACATTGCCACTGGAGATGTTTAACTACTCTTTTGAAGGCCAATTTTTTTTTTTAACCAGATTGTGGGATCTTCCATCATTGGATTTCAGCTTGTCACCCTCCCCAGCCATACTTGCATGTGTCAAGAGGTCAATCATTTATCCCCGCCTACCCTGCAGGAAGCTGCATGCAGAGAGGTGATAATAGAGCTTCTGTACTGATTGGACCTTTTGATAATGGCCTACTTCTTATAGGGCAGACAGTGAATTTATTGTGAGAACTTTTATTTCATAAAATCCTATGTTGCTATATAGTGTCAAGTTTGACAAGTGGACATTTATGCTCACATTTGATACTGCGGTATATTTGTGCTGTAAGTTGCTGGAACCTCCATCCAAGGTCAGAATCGCACCTGTAATCTCATGAGTATCATGTCCAGTGGTTTATCCCTTTGGCCAATGATTTTTTAAAAAAAAGGTTACAGAAAGAAAGTGTGCCTAGATTTTGAACTCCAGTTTCTTGGAATGGGCCACAACAATCTGACCCAAATGGAAATGCTCCCAACTGATTCAATTCCATTAGTTTTCAATCATTGCATATAGTGATTGAAGTGCTTGCTCCTCAATCCTGTTTCAGCATATTTTCATGAAAGACAAAACAATATTAACTGCATGGTAACACTATAGTAGTACAAGTAAAGTAAAGATCTGAGTCAATTATAGGTGACCCTGAATTACCGCCCATAATTTAGCAGCCACTCACTGCTGGTGAGTGATGGGGTGACCCAATAACGCACTTTGACTGGAATAATCCCTTCCCTGAAGATGTCATGAGAGGTGACAAGGAAGGGAAACAATGGGAGGAGAAATAGTTTTCCCTTTCTTTACAGCTCCTCCTAGAATCACAAAATTTCTATGGCCCAAAAGGAGACCATTTCGTCCACCATGTCTGCACAAGTTCTCCAAATCAATGTTATGATGTATTTCCATTCTCCTATTTATTCACCAATACCATACACATTGTTTCCATTCAAATAATCATCTAATGTCCTCTCAAATGCCTCAAACGAACATGCCTGCACCACAACTCCAGATCGTGCATCCTAATCACTCGGTGAAGAGGTTTTTTTTCCTCGCGTTGCAATTGCTACTTTTGCAAACTATTTAAATGTGTACCCTCCCATTCCCAATCCTTTTATAGGTGAGAAGTTTCTCTTGATGTACACTGTCCACATCCCTCATGATTTTGAAAAGTTCTATCAAACCTCCACTTATCCTTCTCCTTTGCAAGGAGAACTGTCCTGACTTCTCCAATCCATCTTCATAACTGAAGTTTCTCATCACTGGAAACATTCTTGCAAACCTATCTGCGCTCTCTGCAATGGTTCACATGCTTCCTAATATTTGGTACCTAGAACTGTACACATGCTTCAGCTGAGGCCAATCTAGTGACTTAGACATGTTCAGCATGACCGCCTTGCTCTTGCATTCTGTGCCTCTATTAAGAAAGTCTAGGATACAGTATTCTTTCTTAATTGTTCTCTCCATCTGTCCTGCTACCTTTAATTATTTATGCAGACATACACCTAGGTCTGTTTTTAGAGTAGTGTACTTCACTCTATACCCACTCTCCACAATTAAAATGCATTGCCTGTCTAATGCATTAGCTCACATTGCTCTGCATTGATCTTTATTTACCACCATCTGCCCATTCCATCAGTATGACAATGTCCGTTTGAAGTTCTGTTCTGATCACCTCAGAGTTTACAATGCTTCGAAATTTTGTATCATTTGCCACCTTTGAAATTGTGTCCTGTGTACCAAGGTTTAGATTATAGATACATATCAGGAAAAGCAAGGTCCCACCACCAACCCCTGGGGTACTTCGCAACCAACCTTTCTTCATGGCCGAACAATATCCATTGACCGTTACTCTTTACTTCCCATCACTCGGGCAATTTTATACCTGCATTGCTGCTGACCTCTTTATATTGTAAGCTCCAACTTAGCTCACAACTCTGTTGTGCAACAGAGTATCAGACAACTTTTGGAAGTCCCATGTACATCATATCAACAGCATTACCCTCATCAACCCTATCCATTACCTCTTCAAAAAATACTCACGTTATGTCCACCTGACTATTAATTCTATCCTGAATTATTATTTCTCAAAGTTTCCCCACAATCAAAGTTATTGATTGCTCCCTCCACCTGTCCTGCTGCCTTTAACAACTTACAGACCGACTGGTCAGTAATTACTGAGCTTATCCTTGCAACATATTTGGAACAACTGTGCAATGTCTGCAATTCTCTAGTCCTTTGACGCTAGCCCTAAGTCTAAGGAAGGCTGAAAACCTATGGGCAGTGCCTTTGCGATTTTCATTCTTCCTTTCTTCAGTATTCGTGGATGCATTTTATTTGATTCTGGTGTTTTATCAACTTAAAATGCAGATCATCTATTCAGTTTCCATCCTTATCAGTTTTGAATTGTAGTGATTTGAATTTCCCCATCTCACCCTGGCCTGGGTAGCATCTGCTCCCTTTGAAAAGACAGGTGTGAATTTAATACCTCAGCCATGCTTCTTGCCTCCGTGTGTAAATCCCCTTTTTGGTCTCTACACCTCCTTTTACCAAACGTTTACTATTAATGTGCCTATTTTTGGGGTATACTTTTATATTAACTCCCAGTCTCTTTTCACAATCACTCTTTGCTTCTCCATTTTTTTTTCCCACCTTCCTGCTGATCCTTCTGTATTCAGGTTGCTTCTCAACTCTATTTGTCCTGACATCTGTTATATGCACATTTTTCCTCATTATCTTAATGTCTCTCTCCTTTATCGAGGAAGCGCTGGATTTGCTTGTCCTACCTTTTCCTTCTGAGGACTATACCTTTACCAAACCACCTCTTCTTTGAAGGTGGCCTATTGTTCAGCTAAAATCTTTCCCATAAAATCTTTGGTTCCAGTCTATCTGACCGAGCTCTGTTCTTGCCTCATTGAAATTAGTTCTCTTCCAGTTAATAATTTTTACTCTAACTTGCTCATTACTCTTTTCCACAATCAGTCTAAACCTTAGATACAATGATCACTGCCTGTTAAATGTTGTCTCACTGACACTTGATCTCCTTGGCCTACCTCATTCCCAAGAAACAGATTTTGTCCTGTGTCAGTAGGCTGAACACACGTTGCTGTAGAAAATACTCCTGAATACAGTTGAGGAATGCTTGCCTCTCTGCCTTTTGCACAACCTCTGCTGCAGTCTGCATTTGGATAATTAAAGTATCTATTATAATAGCACGATAATTTTGCATTTTCCTGCAACTGCCTTGCAGATTTGTTGCTCTACATCCTTCCCACTATTTGATGATCTATAAACTACACCAAGCAATGTATTTACACCTTTTCTGTTCCTTAGCTCTCACCAAATTGATTCTGTTCTTCAGTCCTTTGAGACATTCTCTTTCTCCAGCAGAGCAATGCTCTCTTTAACCAATACCAGCACCTCACACCCCCAATCCCAGCTTTCCTTCTTTTTCTATCTTTTCTGAACATCTTGTATTCAGGAATATTTAACACCCAGACCTGGTCCTCCTTGAGCTAGGTCTCTGCTATAGCCACAGTACTATAATTCCATATGATAAAATGCATCTGTAGCTCTCCAATCATATTTACTACACACTGCATTCACATTCATACACTGAAGTCCTGGTTTAGATTTCTCTTATATTGTAATGTTACATATATACTTACTCTTCTGTATTCTAATGCTGATGGTCACTCACTGAGTTTTATTTCAACCTGTTGCTCCTCGATATACTCCTGGCCCTCACACCATGCTGATGTAGCTACAATCCTCCCCAACAGCATTGGTAAAATGCCCTGCAAGGAATTCAGTCCTGACTTCGTTCAGGTGCAATCTGTCCAGCTCTTATTGGTGCCATCTCCTCCAGAGCCAGATAATGTCCTGAGAATCTAAAGTCCTTCCTACTTTTCAGCAGTGCATTTGTCTGTCCTCCTATTTCTGTATGCACAGAATCATAGAATCATACAGTTCAGAAGAAGCTATTCTGCCCATCCAGACTGTAATGCCAAAAGTGCTATTGCACATGGCACTGGGAGTATTTTACTGATGACCGCTTTCTGGTCCTGCTTGCTAATTTTCCACCTAACTGCCTGGATTGTAATAGCAGGACCATGTCTCCCTTCCTATATTGTTGGCACCAATGTAGACTACAGTCTATAGTGTCGCTGATCACGCTTCTCCAGAGGTATGTGCTGCAGTTGACATCCTTAACCCTGGCACCCGGAGAGGGGTGTGGGGGGGTACATACCATCATGTACTCATGTCTACAGCCACGCATGCACCTGTCCCAAACCAGCAAATACCTTGTCACTAATGCTCATCAGTCCCCCTTGTACAGCTGAGGCACCTGCAGTACCATGTGTTTAATCCTTACTACATTCCTCAGTGAAATGATTGTACTTACCAGTATCCAGAACAGAGAACAGATTAGTGAGCAAAATAATGTCAGGGGACACCTACAGTGCCTGCTTGGTGGTCACCCATTCCCCAGCTGCCCATATGCCCCGATCCTGAAGTGTGACCACCTAGCTAAACATGCTACCTACATAGTCCTCCGCCTCACAGATACACTAGAGTGAGTCCAGCTGCTGTTCAAGTTCTGAAACCTAGAGCTCAAGTGCTTGCAACCAGTTACATTACCTGCACATGTGCTTGTCTATGTGATAAGTCCACAAGTCCCTATGTGACACAAGATAAACATTCCGCATGACAGAGTTGCACTGCCTTACTTTAAGCTTACTTCAGGACTATTTACAATAAACTGCAGATTGAAGAGTAGAAAATAGAATTACTCGCCATTAGTCACCAATTTAGTTCCTTCTTCTAAATTGGATACTTCAGAGTAAGAGTAAGAACCAATTCGAACAGGTTGACAAAAAGATTTTAGAAACACAAAAGAGAGCCTTGTTCCCTCTGCACTAAACTCCTAGCACTTCGTTCATGTCGTACCATCCATACCAATTAAATTCTGAATGAGAAGATTCTATGAGAAGATTCTATGAGAAAATTCTTAGAAACATAGAATCCCTGAATTGCAAATAGAGGCTCTTGGGCCCGTCGAGTCTGCATTGACCTGCTGAAGAGCATCCACCCTATCTCTGTAACCCCACATTTACCTTAGTTAATCCACCTAGCCTGCACATCCCTGGACAGTGTGGGCAATTTAGCATGGCCAGTCTACCTAACCTGCACATCTTTGGACTGTGGAAGGAAACCAGAGCACCTGAAGAAACCCATGCAGACACAGGGAGAAAGTGCAAACTCCACATAGTCACCTAAGGCTTGGTTGAACCCAGGCCCCTGTTGTTGTGAGGCAGCAGTGTTAACCTCTGTGCCACCATGCCGCCCACAAATTCCCAACTTGCCATCAATTAAGAACTTTGAAATGTCAATCCTGGTATGGGAGTTGGTTAGTTCATTTGGCTGGACAGTGCTTTATGCTGCAAAGTGTTGTCAGCAGCGCCCTTTCAATTCCCACACCAGCTGAGGTCACCATAACGGTCCCATCTACTTGAGCTCTCCCCTTGCCTGAGGCGTGGTGACTCTCCGGTTAAACCACTACCAGCCAAGTCCCTCTACTGAGGGAATAGCCCAATAGTCCTCTGGGATTATGGTGTCTTTACCTTGTTCACCGGTTCAGGGCCTCAGTTCACCACTGGCCTTGATCACCTGCCATCCTGGCAGACGGAAAGGTGGCTAGATTCCCGACTGGGAATTGCTACAATTTGGAAGCAATCGGAGGCACAAGAGCTCCTACCGTTGCCTTTGACCTCTCTGACCTGCTTTCCCTACGACCCTAACCCTAGCATAAAAAGATGAAGAACACTTAGCTTCTCATGGCTGGACCCTCTGAGGAATAGTCCTTGACTGACTATCTTTGGGACAGAAGCTGACAACCTCTGGCTCCTGGCAGCCATAAATGCCAGTGTTGAGGCCTGCAAGAAGTGATAAAAATTCACCTTAGCTGCCTTTCAGTATTAATTAGCTGATTGTCACCTGATAAGTCACGTTATCATGGTGGTAGAGGTGGTATGTTGGTCTCCAGCTAATAGCTGCCCCCCACATTTTGATTAAAAATGGGAAAATCAGCCTCAGCAAATCTCTCATGATCTGAGGTGGGTTTGGGCTGAGACTGTTTGTCAGAGCAAGGGAGAGAGTAATGTTAGATCCTATAAACCTTAAGAATTTATCATTCAACAAACTGTAATCTATTTTAGCTAAATTGAGAGAAGAGGATTTTTAAAAAAATCTTTGAAGTCACCCAGTGATGCAACATAATGGGCTATTAATACAAGCCAAAATATTTCATAAATCTCTCTTAACTGAAGTCCAGTGTTTTTGACTCTAATCTGTTTTCCTTTCCTACCAGACATCATCATAAACAATAAGTAAAATAAAATGATTTCTTTCAGATCGAGGCTGAGACCTGTAGCTGCACTGCTGCTACAATCTGTTTGGGAATAATCACCTTCATAATACAATCATTTCACTGTCAGACTTTTATATAAACCAGGGTTTTTTGTTAACTTTGTAAATACTAGTTTATTTTTAAAAAAAAACTTGTTGATATACAGAATCAACCATTCGGGCTGTATCGAAACACGAATAAGAGAAGTGAAAGGCCAAGTGTGGATGGGGAAAATTTCAAAATGTTGGGTAATTGAAGAAATAAAGTATGCTTTATCACAGCCAATATCAGCTGTATTGCAGTAAAAACCCCACTTTATTTTAAGTATATTTGTGTTAAATTTATTCAAAGATTCATTGTTCCCTTTAGGCGTCTGTGAAAGGGAAATGATATTTGAAGCTTGACTTTTGTATTCTTTTCAGGCATGCAGCTGTCCTTTGTACTGGAAAGCCCCCATGTTCATTTCTGCTGGTGGAGAACAGACAGGATTTGTATCTGTACACTCTTTTGTAACGATGTGGAGAAAGTGAGTATTAGCCCTGTTCTGCATTTCACTACTGCAGTCACCAGTAGATATTATGCAAGGTTCACATACATGGAAAATGAAACATCTTGCATGTCTACAGCACTTTGCACAACCCCAAGACCTTCCCAAACCACATTATAGCCATCTGGGTACCTCTTTAAATTCTCACATAGAAATATGACATCCAACCTGAACACAGCAAGATCTCGAAACAACAATGAGAGTATTAACCAGATAATCTGTTTAGGTGATGCTAGTTGAGATATAAGTGATATAAACTCCTCTGTTCTTCAAAAATTGCCAGGGAGTCATTTATGTTTATCTGAGAGAGAGCAAATGAGACCCTGGTTTAAAGAGAGAATGACATCTCTGCAAGTGCAGCACTCGCTCTGTCCTGTTTGAAGTATTAATCTGGATTATGTATTTATTTATCTCTCTGGAATGGGATTTGAGGTCATTATCTTCTAAATCTGAGGCAAGAAGCATGCCCGTGAGCCAGTGTTAACTAAGTCATTTTTTTTCACTTATTTTATTTTGTTGTGTAGGTAAGTCACCATTTTTACATTGTGGTGATTTGTCATTGAGATATGAAGTTGCCGAAATGTTGTTTAGAAAATGGAAGCAATCCTAGAAGAGGTTTATCTCATTGCGGGCATCAAACTAATGCCTTCCACAAAGCTTTCAGGCAGGTTCAGTTCTTGCAAGCTGGAGTGAAATTTATGTTTAGAAGGCATATGGTTAAAAACAATTTTTCATTTATTAGCACCATTCACAGGGAGAAATACAGAAGAATAATCAAATAAAAATAGACTCCAAACCAAACAAGGCAGTACGTAGAGGGGTGACTATAATTTTGGTCAGAGGGGACTCCATACTGTTTCAATTATAGCCTTTTGTGCATTCCCAATTTTATTTACTCTGTCATTGTCAGGCATGCTTTCAGCTAGCTTGTGACTGAAATTTCCTCCCTAAACACCTCTGCCTCCTAATTCTCTGTCCTCCTTTAATATGATCATTCAAACTCTTTGACCAGGTTTTCAGTTACCTGACCTAATCTCTCCTTATGTCAATTAATCTGAAATTTTGTTTGCAAATACTTCTGTGAAGCAGGTGGCTACGTGTCAAAAGATGCTATCTAAATGAAAGGGGTTTTGAAATATATGTCCAAGGAAGAAAATGAAGTGAAAAATAAAAAGTGTCTAATGAGTGAAGTCTAAAGGCTTAGTTTTAGTGGAAAGCACAACTACCAGTGATGTGGGGAAGGGGATACGCAAGAAATTTATACTATCTTGATTCTTTTTGTTTTAGTTAATTGCTCTTTTATCCCTAAATGTGGCTTTACAGGACCTTCACAGCTGCCAGAGAAAGACTTTCTATCAGTTTAAACTGGATTGAAATCCCATCGTCAGGCAACAAACTGGCGATAATAAGTCCTGTGATCCAAGACAAGGAATCTTATGATCATGGGGAAACTGTGGCATAGTGGTAATGTCACTGGACTAGTAACCAAGAGGCCCAGGCTAACGTTCTGGGAACAACTACAGAAAGTTGTGATAACAGCCCAGACCATTACGTAAGCCAGCCTTTCATCCATTGATTTCATGTACACTTCTCAGTGCCGCTATAAGGCAGCCAGCATCACCAAAGACCCCTCCCACTCTGGCTGTAATCTTTTCCAATCTCTTCCATCAGGCAGAAGATACAAAAGCTTAAATGCACATAGCAACAGGTTCAAGTGCAGATTATTCCCCGCTGTTGTTAGACTTTTGAATGGACCTGTCAACTTTCAAATCTAATGCTGATCTTGCTTTTTGTACACCTTCTTTGCAGCCGTAACTTTGTATTCCTTGCTCTGTTCAATTACCCTTTGGTCTTTGTATGGTATGATCTGCCTGTGCTGCATGCAAAACAAAACTTTTCACTGTACTTAGGTGCATGTGAAAATAATAAATCAAACCAAATCAAAATCAAATCATTGGTTCAAGTCCCAGCATGGCAGTTGGTGGAATTTAAATTCAGCTGATAAGTCTGCAACTGAACGCTAGTCTTGATACTGGTGACTGTGAAGCTCCCATTGATTGTCTTAAAATCTGTCAGGTTCAATTCCAAGGAAAGGCCACAATGTTGACCCACATCCTAGAAACAGTAAAGGTTTTCTTAAAAGGTCTGTATTCCATTTAATCCCCCATTTAAATCTGGAGATTTTCCTTCAAGGATTTTTTTTTGGTTTAATTTTCTTTTGATTTAGCTTTTAGTTCATAAAATTTCCTTTCAAACCCCAGTGGATATAACATAAAACTCTTAGTACCTTAGTATGTCACTCTAACTTCTGTTAAATTTATCAACGTTATCACCTAATTAGTCAAAGAATGAATAAATTTCAATTTATTTGATAAGCTTCCTAACTGATAGTAGAGAGCAATTATTTCTACTCCGTTGTGTATGCTTGGAACAGTCTTGCAGACTGGCTAACAGACGCAGAGACACAAGCTGAATTCTATAAGTTTAAATGTCAATCAATTTCTTGGGGGATTGAGTGATAGAAGGGGGATAAAATGTGATAGGTCAAATGGCCTTTTCATATCCTTAGCTCTTGATATGAACATTTTCCACTGGGTTAATGAAACCATTAGGATTCTGAAAAACTAGTTACAATCTGTTGTCACCAAGAAGTGATGTACACACCATACTTGTAATATGCCCTTAGCATGCCCTTCACATAGGTCAAAATGATCTAATAGCAATTTGAGTAGTTTAACACACTCTAAGGAGTACATAGTGGGGTAATGAAAGTGTTGTGAATTGTAAACTATGCTGCTTAATGTAAGGCAAACTGCTTCCTATATTTTATAGACTAAGGTGTAAAGGCAAATTTTACTTGACAGACTGGAGAATATGGAAATAAAACTTCCTTTTTACTTCTGGGACCTCATTTGATTTTTTTCCTGGAGCTATAGGATAACTGTTTTGACTATCTGAAGGATGTCAGAGCTTCAACAGAGGTGAATTATACTTTAAATTAATCTCATACTATTAAGTGACTATAATTCTAAACTTCCATTTGGTTGAAATCCTCGTTCAGACAACTTAAAAAGCTAAAATAAGAAATACAAAAATTTACACTGGGGCCAGACAGCATTGTTAGATTTTTGAGGTTGACTTTAAGGTGTATAGTTTGAGTAATGTAGACAAATTCATCTTATTAACTTTATCCAACCTAATTGGTGATAACAGCACAAAAGTGAAAAAACAAGTAAAGCTTCCATTTCTGTAGTGGCCACTGGATGTCTTAATGAAGTACTTTTTTTGAAGTACAGTAGTCAATATGCACACAGCAAGTTGCCATGAAAAGCTACATGATAATTATGTGTGAAAGATTTTTTTACTGGTGTTGATTTGAGGAATATTTATTGACCCGGTCACCAGGGATAACTCCCCTGATCCTCTTTCAAGTAATGCTTTGAGATTTTTTACATCCACCCAACAAGGCTGATGGAGACACAGTTTATCATTTCTACTTCTTTACATTTGATTTTGGTCACTGATACATCAATATTTAATGGAAAGAACTTGCATTTATAAAATTTATTGTGACATTCGACGGTTTGAGAAGGAATCTATGAGGTGATTTGATACAGTTGTTTAAATTGATGAAGGAATAATTGAATCATAGCACAGAAGGAGGAAATTCAACCCATGGGCCTATGCCAGTTCTTTAAAAGAGTTCTTAACTTAGACACGCACACCTGTTCATTCCCGTGAGCCCTGCGGATGCATTAGATGGAAACAGTTTGTCTTAAGTAGTTGATCGGTGTAGAAGGAGGACGTTAATATAAAATGAAATGAAAAAGATCTAAGGCAGGATCATTTGTTGATCTTTACAAATGCATGTGTTCATTTACTGTCCCTGAGTAATAAATGCAATGGTTGTATCTTTCACAGAGTACTGCAGAGCTGCCATGATGATGCATCTAAGTTTGTTTATCTTCTTGCCAAACCAGGCTGTAACTATCTGGAACAGGAGGACTTCATCCCACTGCTGCAGGTCTGCACCCATTCTTTTCCACTGTTATGAATGTTTCAATGCAATGTAGTATTTAACAAGCCAATTATTTTCATGAACATTTATGAACCTCTTTTCATTGTGTGCGACTGGCTTAGAATACAGAAGGGACTTGATATGATGGACATTGGGAGGATGATTCCTCTTGAGAGGGTGATGATAATTAGCAGACACTGTACAAAAATAAGAGGTTCCTCTTTTAGGATGAAATTGAGGAGACTGAGGTGGTTTGATAAGTGTTTTAAAAGGACGAAGGGATCATAGACCTAGCCAAGGTGGTGGTCCATCTCAATGTGAGCGAAATGTCAATGGGGTAGTGAGGAATTTTTAATTTGACACTTAAGTAGTGCAGCTGATTGTCCAGTGGGTGATGAGGTTCCCACTGCTGGTAATATGCAATGGCAGTGAGAAGATTTTGGACTCTCCTCTTTATTTATTTCACTGCTGCATTACCAGTACTCCCAGTTTGTCACCAAAAACTTGAAGAATTAAGTCCAGTATGTTTCCCTGTTTGAGCATAAAAATGATTGAAATGATAGCCAGAATGTGAACCATGGCTCTTGGGGCAGCCGACTGTCCAAAGGGAGTAGGAAGGAAAGTGTGACTTGTTAAATGTTATGTTATACAATAATTGAGAAGATGCATACCAGAACTGAGTCCTACACAAGCTGTAACCTGATGCCAGGATTAAGAACGTCTTGAGCATGCTTGAAAGGATACTGAGGAAAGAAGTATGGTATTCAGCCATTGTGGTCTATAGTACGATCAACATCATAGGAAAATTGATGGGAGGTCCAATTCAGCAAGTACCAGGAGCTCTTTCTGTTTACAAAACAATCTCCAGGATTACATTCTCTAGATTATTACTTGAATGATCTGCAAGTGGCAAAGAGATATGTGGTAGAAAAGGTGCTTTGGGAATGAGAAGTTGTATTTCATACTACACAGGCACAGCAAGGAAGTGTTGCATTGAGATGAGTTCTATTCAAACCAGGCTGGGCCCATGAGCCAATGGAAAGAATAAATAAAGCTGTCACAAGGACTTTAATATGGCAAATTTTGGTGGGGTGGTCTTACTTGGATAAGATAGTCAAAATAATAAGTCTAAAACAAATTAGACTAGAGTATTAGTCAGGAATAGTGCATTGGGCATTTTGGGTTTGGGGAAACCTAAAAAAATGAAAAACAATTGTATCAGGAGACAGAAATACGAGAGAAATAAGCAGAACTATAACAATAGAGGCGAAAGATATGTGAGGGTGTACTACGGCAATGTGTTCTCTACGCTAATGGATGGAATAAAAAAAACAAATTTAATAAATGCAAATAAAGAAAGTGGTAGTGTAAGTGGTAATGTTACTGAGCAAATAATTTGGAGGCACAGGCCAATGTTCTGGAGATATGGGTTCAAATCCTACTCAAATTCAATTTAAAATCTGTAATTATCTTTTAAAGAAATAAATCACAATTAATGTGGAAGTATTTTTAAATTCTCTGTGAAGCATGGTTAAAAATTTAAACATATCAATTGGCCCTAACTATTTTTCTAGTGAATACCACTGACAAAGATTATCAGAATATCAATAACAGATATTAAAAAGAAGTCTAATGGAATGCTGAGCTTTAAGGAGTAGAATACAAATGGTTGGAAGTCATGCCAGAGCTATTACGAAGCTTTGGTTAAACCATAGCTTGAGTACAATGTTTAGTTCTGGACACCATACCAAGTTCACAGTATGGATATACAAGAATGATTCTGAATGATAAAGGTTAAATTATGTGGTAAGACAATTCAAATTTGAGGTGGCCTCTAGCCTATTCCTATTGCATTGGGATTGTATTCACTAGAATTTAGATGATTACAGAGTGATTTGGTTAATGTTTTCAAGGTATTAATATGAAGTGAGAGGGTGGATGGAGAACAACTATTTTCACTGCTCAATGAATCTAGTTTTAAGTTTTTTGATTGAAATTAGGAAATGCTTCTATTATGGTGTTACAGTGGCAAAAGCTTAAGATTTTCTACTGTGAACAGTACTTGAAATGGAGTCAACTGCAGTATTTATTTTTAAAGCTGAGATTGACAGATTTATGTTAGGACTAAAAGAAGAGCAGAAATAGGCTATGGGTCATCTCAAATTTGCTCTGCCATTCAATAAGTTTGTGCTGATCTAGGATCCTAGTCCACTGTTCTGCTCCATATTCCATTATCTCTTTATTTCCCAAAAATCTAATTATCTCAGTCTTGAATGTACTTGATGACTAAGCATCCACAGCTAATTGGGTTAGAAATCCAGATTCTCTGAGGAAAGAAATTTTCATTCATCTCTGCTTTAAATGATCAATCGCTTTTATTCTGAGAGTATGCTCCCTATTCCTAGACTTGTCAGCCAGGGAAAAGTGTCTCTCAACATTGACATTGTCATGCCCTCTCAAAATGTAACACTACTGAAGAAATTAAGAGGCATGGGACAATGGCTCTATGGAATTAGTTCTCCAATCATCCATGATATTATGGAATAATGGAACAAGTTCAAAATGCTACTCCTATGTGTTCCAGATTTGTTCATAATGTGTTGAATTCAATTATTCAATCTCCAATTAAAATCATAAAGATGGGAAATCAACTAAAACAAAGGGAAGGCAAAATACTGAGAATGACTAGAAATATGAAATTTAAACAGAAAATGTTTTAAAGGCTCAGCTAGTCAGGCAGCATCTGTAGGAAGAGAAACAGGGTAATGTTTCACACCAGTGACCATCCTGACAGTCATTGACCAGAAATAGTAACTGTTGTTTCTCTCTCCGTAGACCCTGCTTAACCTGCCCAGTGTTTGAAACAAAAGAAATAGTTTGCAAACTGAAATCAGTTTCCTCCTGGTATTTGCTCCTCTTGAACTGAGTTGATGTTGGGGCAAGTGTTCAGTAGCCTGTTGGAAAAATAAGTTTCATAAAGCCTTTCTTTTTCAGTTTGCTGTTGGGATATGCATATTGCTAGCTAGTGAAGAAAGTGGTGGTGAGCTGCCACCTTGACCTACTGCAGTTGTTGAGATGTAGGGACACCTACAGTGCTATTAGGAAGGGAATTCCAGGATTTTGACCCAGCAGTGAAAGAACGGCAATGTAGTTTCAAGACAGGGTGATGTGTGACTTGGAAAGAAATTTCTATGTAGAAATGTCTCCATATATCTGCTGTCTTTATTCTTCTGGGTGGTAGAAGTCACTGGCTGATAAAATAACCTGAGTTACTATGGTTCATTTTGTAGATAGTGTAGATAGATGTCACTGTACATCAGTGGGGAAGTGTGTGAATGTTGTGGTTAAGGTGCCAATCAAGTGGGCTGTTTTTATTCTGGATGGTGTCAAGCTTCTTGAGTGTTCGTGGAGCTGCACCCATCCAGGCAAGTGGGGAATATTTGAGCAAATTCCTGACTTGTAACTTATAGGTGATGGTCAGGCTTTGCAAAAACTGGAGTTGAGTTATTGCAGAATTCCTAGCCTCAGACCTGTTCTTGTAGCCACAATATTTATATGGCTACTCCAGTTTAGTTTTTGTTCACAGGTAATCCCCAGGATATTGACAGTGGGGGCAGATTTAGAGATGGTAATGCTATTGAGATATGTTAGTTAGATTCTCCCTTGTTGGAAATGGGCATTGCCTGATACGGGTGTAGCACGAGTGTTACTTGTCACTCATCAGTCCGAGCCTGGATGTTATCCAGATATTTTTGCATATGGACAGAGACTGCTTCAGTTTCTGAGGTACCACGAATGCTAATAAACATTATGCAATTCTCTACAAACATCCCCATTTCTGACTTTTATAATGGAGATTAGTCATTGATGAAGCAACTGAAGATGGCTGAGTCTAGGACACTATCCTGAGGAACTCGTGCAGAGATGTCCTGGAGCTGAGATGACTGACCTCCAACAAGCACAACCATCTTACTATGTGTCAGGTTTGACTCCAACCAGCAGAGAGGGTTTCTCCAATTCCCATTGACTAATTTTGAGCTCCTCAATGTCATAGAATCATAGAATCTCTACAGTGTGGAAACAGGCCCTTCGGCCCAACAGGTCCATACCGACCCTCACAGCATCCCACCCAGGCCCATCCCCTTACAACCCACCTAATCTACAGATGCCTGAACACTACGGACAATTTAGCATAGCCAATTCGCCTAGCCTGCACATCTTTGGACTGCGGGAGGAAACCGGAGCACCCAGAGGAAACCCACGCAGACACTGGGAGAACGTGTAAACTCCACACAGACAGTTGCCGGAAGGTGGAATTGAACCCTGTGAGGCAATGCTCAGTTGAATGCCGCCTTGATGTAAAAGGCAGTCACTCTCGTATCATCACTGGAGTTCAGCTTTTTTGTCCATGTTTGGTCCAAGAGTGTAATGCAGTCAGAGACTTAGTGGCCAGACAACTTCCAAACCGAGCATCAGTTCAGTTGTCCTCCTACACTTTGCCTATTGTATGTTTTCCTTTGTTCTCAGTTGACCCGCTTGTGACTGGTTATAGGTGTGATAGTTCAGGTTTTGTTTAAGTGCCCCTTGATAGCACTGTCAACAATACCTTCCACGCTTTGCTGATGATCAAGAGTGAACTAATATTACAGAAATTAGCTGGAATCAATTTGTCCTGAACTTTCTGAACGCAACATACCTGAGCAATTTTCCAAATTGTTGGATAGATTCCAGTGTTGTAGCTGTACTGAAACACTTTGGCCAGGCCACAGCTAATTCTGGATCACAAGTCGTCAGTATTAATGCCAGAATGCTGCCAGGGACCAGAGCCCTTGCTGTATCCAGTATCTACAGCTATTTCTTCATATCACAGGGAGGAGCTGGCATCTGTACTCCTGGGACGTCAGCAGGAGGCTGAGATGGATCACTCGCTCGGCACTTTTAGCTTCAGACTTAACTTTTGCTCTGATGTATTGGGCTCCCCCTTCTTTGAGGATGGGGATATTTGT